CCGACGACTCCGGCCAATAGGAGAAGACCTCGGATGACAACAGGAAGAGCAAGCCAATAATCGATCTCTTCTTCTCCTGACCTCGGCTGACCGAACGCATGGGGAGAGAGCCTCCACTCGCAAATTTCATTTGTACATCACAGCATCTTTTGTGTAATGAAATGCTGTTAACTTTTATAAGCTTCTCTTGACTCTTTTCAGTCTGTCCTGCTCTCAGGGTTCAAGAATCACTAACATAAGGAAGTGGGAGATTTGTTCCGGCTGTGTATTCTCAAATTCTAGTGCACTCGAGCTGGTTTCTCCAAAATGACCTACCCCACCTTTAAGATTATCACTATATAATTTAATGCCTTATGTTTGAATAGACCATAACATATTCTTTGTAAATATCTATGTCTGAATACGTAATTGTTTTGTTAAATAGTTTTTCTTGTTTTGGAACCGCACTTTGTACTAACTCGGTAGAATGCCACATATAACATTTCCACAATCTAATAATGTAAGATAGAGTAATAATATATCACATATGGAAGACAGTTTTCTGCAGAATTATTACTTAGTAGGCTACTACTGCATCTTCTCTCGATCAAATATCTGTAGCCTACTTTTATTTGAGAATATAGGGCTTTCTCCTTGTAATGCAGTATTTTGACATGAATGTAATGCACTTCTTTCACCTCTGATCATCCAGTAAGAATATATGATTCTAAAATGGGCCTTAAGGCATAATGAGTACTTTTATTTCTGGTACAAAAGTATAACTTGATGCTAATACTTTTGGACTTTTACTTAAGTAACCTTTTAGATACAGGACTTTTACTTATAACAATTTAGTATTGCTAAGCAAAATATCTGAGTACTTCCTCCACATTATGTTGGGAATTATAATGGGGGTGGGCTCTGTGTTGATTGGGATTGGGGCATCAATAGAAAAATGATATTTTTGAGTTAAATTAAAATGGAGTTAATGAACAGGGCTCAGGTTTTAAAATACGCACACATTTTCAAATATGCAAACCTTTTTATACTAAAGAAAGTGGAACTACTTGTGTACTCACTGAATACACATTATCATGCGCGACTGTCCTACAGTAAATGATAATCACCATTATTTTTATCTTTTAAACAATTGAATAATAAACACGTTTGGTGTAACTGATCATAACCCAGCTTAAAGCACCCACCGACAGAGCATGGTTATTAAGACAGGCTCTGTTGTATGACACTGACACAAGCAAACAGGAAGTAACATCAGTAATAAAAGAGGAAATAAGAAGACCTTTAACCAGCAGTAACCAAAAGCGCATTTCGTGATCCTTTATCTCCCACCATTAAAGAGCATTTAACAACCACTCTTTCTTTAAACACTGCTCTTTGGGTAAATGCACAATAATAAAAGGTTTAAAAGGGTGAAGTCGTAATGTTAACAGCATTCTTTCTAGGGAAATGAGCACCTTTAAAAAGAAAATAAGAAACTCCTTCTTAATACATACAGGACTTAATTACACCGAACCACTAAAGAGGAGTCCATGCTTTGAAGCACTCATTCTAAGAAAATTATTGCTGATCATAATGCTGTAACAAAAAACTGAATTCCATTTGATTTCACTCCTGTTTTATTCAGTCCTGCATTGGTATTAAGTGTTCTTTTTAATCACAAGGCTATGTGTTACTCTGGTTTTACCTGGGAGAGGAAACTAGTATTGTGCTTATTTATTGTAAATCATGTATACATGTTTGTTTTGTGAAGCACTTTGAGTTACCTTCATGTATGAAAAATGCTATATTAATAAAGTTTGATTTGATTTGCAAAGTTATAGTGTTATTGTCAGGTCATTTTTGGATTGGATTAATTTATGGATCTATAATTAACAGTTAAATATAAGTTTTCCTTTGAATAATTTTGAAATAAGATACAGGCTGACATTTGCTAACTTTATGCCAACCATATAGACAATACTTCGATATATTAATTGAGTGCACATTTTTATTTTAAGCTTAAATAAATGTCTTATGATATATTTTTGCTTAATTACTCAATTTTTCCACTAGATGACAAACAATCATTGTTCTGTTATGAACCCAGTTGTCCACTAGATGGTGTGATACACTCAAAAGCTCACGGAACACATTGTTGTGACGATACAACTCTCATGTTTACTGATTTTATTAATCTCAAAATTAGTCTTCTCCTTAGCCAACTAGATTATAATATTCAGATCTTTTATTTAAACCCTTTCCAATAAATAATGAAGGATTTGCTCACTGTTGACTGTTATTCTTGTAGTTTTCATTGGGAACCTAATGTTGGATGTATGTGGTGTGGCACTTTGCTCATTGGCGCAGCTGCAGAACCCAGCTGGATGTTCCTAAATATTTTGTTTTGTCTAAATATTTACAGTTCATTGATAAAGATGCAATGTTTACTATGGCATCATTGCACCTCTATCACATTTCCTGCTGAAGTAAGGCTGCCCAGGGGGTCACACACAACCCCCCTCTCTAGAATGTTCTCATGTTATTTGGTTGGGTAATCCCACTGCAGGCAACAGACCTGCCGGAGGCTAAACGGCTATTGCAAACAGAAAGTCTTCTCTAACACAAAGGAACCATTTAAACAGAAAATATCTGAAACAGGGATGACACCTTTTTCTATATATGTATATATATCTACTTTTATTGCAAAAACTGGACATTTGTAACAGTGTAAAACCATTCAAGTTTGAAATTGTCAAATTATTTGCAGAAACATTGTTTTATAGATAAGTCTTAAATTGGTCACAATTTGGTTTGTTTACCAGTGTAGATGAGTGCATCCAGAGAGGATCAATAACCTTATATTAGCATTTCAGCCTCTTGGTCAAATATAAATATTGTAGAACTTTTGGTTGAAAGCAGTGCAAAGGATGTGCGAGAAATTGTGAACGTCCTTGGAGTTGACACATAAAAAAGTAGTGTGCTTTACAAACTTTTTGGATCACACTGCACAGCTCTACAAAAATAAGATTATTGTACAGCTTTTACAAACAAATATTAAGACTGAGACCATTTTTGTGCTGGCACAATACCAATACATTTACATTTTATGCAATAATCATGATGATCCTATTGAATTAAGTTTTCAGTGGGTATTGTGTGCTGCCAATGCAAACTAAAATGGGACATAGTGATATTAAATACTCATCAAGATAAAAAGGATAGGTGTGAAAAAGGCTTTGCTAACTAAACACAGGATGAAATATTTAAACACATCTCTTTAGCCGTGTCTTGTGGAATGCTGTCCGCCTGTGATGTGAAGGAATGCTCTAGTGCGAAATAAAACATATAGACAAAAAATACACACACCGTTAAGCTTTACTTTATATGGTTACAATTCATCTCTTATCTTGTCACCCTTTGGCCGGACCATCCTGCCGAGGAAGAGGATTGACTTGGTGCTCTCATCCTTCACGAGGAAGATGAAAGGGTGGTCTGCGTAGAACAGTTTGGGGTCTTTCAGCTTGTCTGTGCCGAAGATACTCGTGTCCATTTCGTTTCCATCAGTGTCCCATTCCAAGGCTGAGGCGTGGAACACACTGGACAAGTAGAGGTCCTTCTTCCCAGACATTTTGGAAAAGTCAGCTTTGGATTTGTTTACAGCATCTGTCAGGCCCAACTCCCAGAGGTGTTTCTATGAATGGGAGCAGGAAGTTCGTGTGTAATTCAAATTGTATAAAACAGCAATTAAATCAGAAGTAAAGAGATGTGGTCATCTTTAGTGTCTTACCTGCAGGTTATGACTGACTTCCATGCTGACTTTGGGCAGAGACACAGCTACTGCTGTCTGCTTCAGCGCACCCATCCACTTATCCAGCTGCTTCTGGGTCAGCAGCTTCTCCAGCCTTTCCAGAGATTCCACATGGTGGGGCATAAAGAACACCACAGTGGACTTCTTATGAGCCAGAGGTATGCTCAGGATGGATAGCTTATTAGTTTTGTCGTCAAGGAAGCCATAGAGACCTGTGGAAATAAATGACATGTATTAAACATAATTAGCATTATCTGCTAACAATAAAGTTTTGAAAACCCCTTACACTTTCTGTTGTAGACTCTTTTATATTGCTAAATGGTTCTTTTTCTGGTCATAAGATGTTTCTGTTTCTTTCTTTTCTTTGGTTCTTGCTCTTTCACTTAAATCCTAAAAACTTTGATCTTATATTTAAAACTAAGGTTATTACTACTCTTTCTATTTTCTCTTTATCCAAAACCCTTTCCCTCCATTTTATTGGAGGGAAACAGGTTTGCAGAGGGGCCTATTTCCAGCCGGGTAGTGTTATGCCGTAGTCACAGCGTACCTCCTTACCTCTCACCAATTCCAACTAAGGCCCCAGCGGGGACCTTGCTCCCTGCGCGCGCCTCTCTGTGTCTGTGTCTGTGTATTTGCATGTTCCGATTAACCCAGTCTCCCCCAAATTTTCTTTTTCTTTTGTGTCTATATCTACGCCGGGATCCGGAGTCGAGGCTNGCCGTTATAACGCCTCATGTGAACAGCACTGCACACACCTCCACTCATCCCACGCTGCGTTTCACTCCGGCTCTCATCATGAGGCGTGTACACGCTCAGGGGATGAGTGGAGGTGTGTGCAGTGCTGTTCACATGAGGCGTTATAACGGCGCTCATGGGTTTATTATGACCGTGTGTAGGAGGCGTATCTCGGACAGAGGAGCGAGCTCTGCAGTTTATTAACCAATAGGTTAAAACCGGAAGGCTTCTGCAGCGAGCCCTGCTGGCTACTAACCAAGAGGTTATAGGCTGCTGGTTTACACAGAGTGGGGGATATGTGAGAAACACTTGTTACTGATGACTCAGTACAAAAAGTTGGAAAATGAACACACTTTATTTTACTCACAACCACCAGAACGTCAGAAGCGGCTCTGCTTCCTCGGAGGCTCTCGTGGAGCAGACCAGGAGCGGGGGAGCCTCACTCCCCTTTGACTCGCCGCCGGGAGACCCTGTCTCTGGGGTGGCGGGGGAGCGGAGAAGTGGGACGGAGCCCCTGCAGCCGCCGAAGGGCGAGCCTGACGCCGAGGCGATTGCTGTGGGCGTCTCTCCGCTTGCCTTTTTTGTATTCCATAAAAAGGATGTGAGACAAGCATACTTCTCTTTATTTGATCATTAACATATGTCGCATCACGCGTTGTGTGACTTTTGACTCTTTCAAACAGTCGATCGAAACACTCCCCTAGGTTCGGCTTCATTCCGTGTGGGATTTGGTTGACCTAGAGAAGGTATGTACGTCGGACTTTTGCATATTCTTTACGCATCCCGGTATTACAAGTTCGTTAAAATAGTTTTTGTAATTTTTTCGATAGTGGGTTCGTAAAAATTCTGTACAAAATCTCTTCAATAGGGATGGAAAAGTCTTCTTGTAAGACTCGTTGGTTTTTTTGGCAGGTCGCTGTTTGCAAAATTCTTATGCATCTCCGTTATTCCAAGCTTGTTGCAATAAGTTTTTGAGAATTCTTTTTATAGTGGTTTGTACATTCTTCACAATCTCTTGCAATAGGATGGAAAAGTCTTCTTGTAAGACCCTTGGTTATTCTTTTGAAGGGCGACTTATTGTAAGGATCTTGTCCTTACCTTCTGGAAGTCTTGCAAAAATCTTGGTTTGTAGAATATACGACCCAGGTCTGTGGTAGGTGGGTTTACAAAGGGACGGTGATAGTGTGAACCAGTCAAGGACGAGAGTTATCCGTAACGATTCGATTTGTCAGTCGTTCTTTCAAAGTAGATAGGAAAGCAGACCGTCGTCGTTGGGTCACATGTCTATTCGTTTTGGGCGGTACCAGGGATTATGTTGTGTGTGTGTGTGTGTGTGTAGTGTGTGTGGTGTGTGTGTGTGTGTGTGTGGTGTGTGTGTTGTGTGTGTAGTGTGTGTGGTGTGTGTGTGTGTGTGTGTAGTGTGTGTGTGTGTGTGTGTGTGTGGTGTGTGTGTGTGTGTGTGTGTCAGGGGAGACACATGTGAGGACGTCTGAACGAGGACATGAGACATACATGGAAACTTCCGCAAGTTTATTTCTTGGTTGTTCTGGTTGAGAGAAACGTAAGCTGGTCAGAAAATAAAATATAGATATAATTAATAATAATAATAATAATCATGCATTATGTAGAGGCCTAGTAACTGCTCACTTTCAGAAGGAGGTTCTAAGAGGTTGGAGTCGGGAAAAATGTAATGTCAATGAACAATTGCGAAAATAGGTTTCGCTGAATTTTATGAAGGTTATGACACCAGTTAGGGTGCCTGCGATTCAAACCCCACTAACGGAGTCCTGTGTTGCTTGTAACGACTTGTCACCTAACAACGTCAAGATAAAGGCTATCCGAGCGGGAGATTCCCGTAGCGATAAACCATTAGAGGGACACGTGGACGACGTCGTTCGCTTTTGTGAAGCATCAGGGGTGCGGGCGGCGTTGCGCCACCCGGGAGCCCGAGGGAAAGGCGCATATTTTATCCTTCCTCTGGGCTGTTAGACGCTGGGAGAAAAGAAGTCGTCGAGCAATGGACTTCGTGGTTCTTTGTGGAGTTAACGTCTCATTAATACTGATTGTTGACACACTCCCTAACAGGGAGTAACACCGGAGACCCAAGTAGTACTGATGCTGCCCAACGTCTGCCATCCTCACTGCTAGACCGTGTTGAGGGCACGGAGGCTCCAAGGTCCTCGTGTGTTGTGCGCCGAGGGTCCTGGGATGTCCAGCGTACGAAGTGTAACCGGAGCAGACGGTCGCTCCACGTGCGCAATGAGTCTACGGACCAAAAAGGTCTGCGGGGAAGAGACCTCTGCTCGGGATAGGTCCGCAAAGCTCGTTGCACTGTCCGGGTTGTTTTCGCCGGCCTGCGGAGGCGGGGCGTCCAACTCACCGTGAAGGTCAGAGCTCGCGTCAGGTGTCGTCGTCATTAATGTCGGCTCGTCCACGTTTGCAGGTCACGCCG